CCAGTGTGTGTGTGTGTGTGTGTGTGTGTGTGTGTGTGTGTGTCCGAGAACGGCCCAAACACCTGAGTCAGAAGTTCAGAGTGGTCATTTGCCTTCCCTTTCACCGCAGACTTCAAGGAAACCCCCAGACCCTCCGCTTCCCCCAGCGATCCTATCCATGTCCCCCAAACTCCTCTCCTGCCTCCATTCGAATTCCTCTAGTTTGCAAGTCCGAAACTCCCCCTAATACAGCCAACTCCCTCCTTCCCAGACCCCTCAATTTTTACCCTCCCCCACCTACTCCCCCCTCCCCCCATGGGGCTCACACCACACCGCTTACACATGCTAGCAGGGCAGTTACTGAATTTCCCTCATGGGGTCTAACCAAGTTGGGCAGAACATTGTTTAAAGATTGGAGAGGGTTTATTTAAAAATTTTAATGAACCACTCCCCGCCCCCCCCCCCCAGAGTCAGGCTGGGGCATTTTATCTTCCATATTTGCATAAAAGTAATGTTTGCAGAAACAAATGAGCGTCTGTGAGCAACAAGTTGTCCTGATGCCCATTCTCTCCCTCCCTCTCTGCCACTCGACACATTTTCTTTTCCACCGCTCCTCCCCTCCCTTCCTTTCTCTCTCCCCTTCCTCCTCTTCTCTCCCCACAAACCACATGCTCTTTATGGAGAACTCGCTCAGATGCCCTCCCTACCCCCCGCCCCCAGGGGCAGGGGCACCGCAGGGGCAAAACCAAGGCTGCCGCCTCGCAGCACATTTCAGTGGGGCGCCCAGATCCTCATCTCGTCCCCAAATCCTCTCATCCCCACTGAGTTTCCAAAGGGGAACCTCAGCGCCAACGCTTTTGACAAATAGCTGCGGGGGTCCTAGGATGACCATGGCTGCCCCTGGCTAAGATGTGCGGATTGAAACCCAAGCAGTCACCAATCCGGTGTCACCCGGCATCATCGCGCCCAGCCACCCGGCATCATCGCGCCCAGCCCAGGAGTGCGTGGTGCCGGACCGGGCGCCTTTATTTCCTCCGGTAAACACGGGAAAGCCTTGAGAGTGATGCCTGCGACTTGATGCTGGGCCAGGCGGGTCCCTGCCAGTCGGAGCCCCGCCTCCAGAAAGGGGGAGTAGGGGGGAAGGCCTGGGTGGCAGATGCCACCATCTCCAAGGTCAGGGACGTTATTTGACACAGATTATCATTTTCCCGTAAGGCCTGTGTCCGGCTACACATGATGTCATCTCTCAGAGGCTGAAGTCCGTGGGCCGTGAAACGCCTGGGCTGGGGGTCCCACGATTGTGGGGGCTGCGTGTTGAAGGGTGACTCGAAGCCCAAGCTGACGCCCCTCTTCCAGAATTTGGACTGTAGGTCTGTGCAAGCAACCCTGCAGGGAAGGAGACCCTTCAAGTAAAGAGGCAGGACTCCCCTGCGGGCCCCCCCCCCCCCCCCCCGCCCACCAATCTCTAGCAGGCGGTGGCTGTCTGTTTCACCTGCGGTACCAATGAAGCAGGGGCGGAGGAAGTCCTCCTTTTAAAATCAAAGGGTGCTATGAGTGCCTTCGTTCTGCACGTGCCTTCGTTCTGCACAGCGGGGTGGACGGCACGGCTTGTCCACAGAACTGGCCCGGGGACTCTCCTGGCTGCTTTCCGGGGTTCTGTGTCCGCACGGAGAAACGCTGTCTCCCAAACCTGGGCTCCGGGTGCAGGGCCAGGCGCTCGCCTTCGGAGCCGCGCTACCCGGCAACACCGTGGTGTTGCCAATTAGCTCCAGATCGGGCTGGGGGACGCCGTGGTCCCCAGGCTCCGGGCGAGAGAGACTCCGTGGTCCCCAGGCTCCGGGCGAGAGAAGGTGGAGACTCCCCTCCCTGCTTCTGGCAGTTGGGGCCGGTGCCTTTGGCTCTGGAGAGGCTTGGAAAGAAGTAGGCGAGGCCCAACCTTCGGAGATCAGGAAGGATGGTCTAGAAGGTAGAGATGGAGATGTGCTCTCCGAAGCAAATCTGGGAAATCTGGGACCACCCTGCCCTCTGCGACCTGTTGCGCGAGGCAGTGCCCCGCTGGCTCTGGGCCGGTCTGAGCCACCGGCCGGGAAGCCGCAGCCAGCATCGCCTCCCTGGCCCTCCGGGGCAGACCTCGAGGACGCCAGCCCCAGGGACTCCCGAGGACTTTGGAAGTGGCCCGGCAGCCGCACCGGCCCAGCTGCTGGGCCTCCGGATCTTCTGGCCGCTGTGGGGTGGGAAAGGGTCGAGCTAACCTTCTGGCTACTGAAACCTCAGAGCGCTAGGGTTGGGGAGAGGCCTGGAAAGAGCCTGGAGCTGCGGGCCCTCACCCCCTCATCCTCGGGGCCTATGGTTGCACGTTTTTATGGCAAGTAGTGGTGGTTTTGGATGCGCGTGATCCAGATCCGCACTCGAGATCCAGATCCACCGTCAGTACCTCGATTCAAAGGTCCTCCCGGCTCTGCCTCTGCGGCGAAGGGGAGGGCGCGCAACCGGGAGGATCCGCAGCCAGCGCGCCCCTTCCCGGACCCGGCTCTCCGCAGAGCGCAGGCTGTGTGGGGAGGGCGCGGGTCTGCGCCAGGAGGGCCCCATAGGAACCGGGGGCTCAAAAATAACAACAAAAACCCAAAACACAAAAAACCTGTGAGACTCGGCCCTGGACGGTTTTTAACCGCCCACCGCCATCCTGGGTTCCTTTCAGCGCAATTTGGAGTCTCGATTGCCTCTGGAAATACACTTTCAGTACCTCCCTCCCCCAACAATTACCGCTGATCCCAGAGAGTGCTCTGTCTGCTTCACCCAGCCTTTTGGAGACAGAAAACCCAGCTCCCGAGAGGCAATCCCCTGAGAAGGGGCTTGAGAAACAGGGACACAGACTTTGGTGGCCCCATGTGTGCACAAAGGAAATGAGAAAGTTTTCCCCTTGACAAATTGAATCATTTTTAATAAAACCGGGTTGAGCCGGGCTCCATACTCAACAGCGTCTCTCCTTTGTACTATGAATGCACACGGGGTGCTATCCCCCTTGGGTGGGTGTAGGGGTGTCCAGAAGTTTTCGGGTACCTCCAGAGGCTTCTCGTAGCTGCTTCCAGGTCCACCAAGTCTTTTGACATTGGGTCCAGCCCAGAGCTGCCTGCTTTCCCGCTTGTGAGTGGATTTTTAAAGGGCCAACGTGTAGACGATTGAGCAGCTATTCTTCGAGACCCCCCCCCCCCCAATCTTGCCTTCTGAGTTTGCCTTAATTAGGGGGTTGGGAGCCTGAATTCACATAAAATCTGTCAAAGGAGTTGGGGGAAGGGAGGATGGGGAAAGAGGGGTGGAGAACTCCAGTGCAGGAAAAATTCAAAAATTGTAAAAAGAAAAGGGGGAACTTGAAGCCCAGAAGTCATTGTTTCCTTTATTTCAAAGGGGAAAACCTGCCTGATTCTCATCCTTTTGATTGATTAAGGCCCTGAATACCTCGCAGCCCCAGAGTGACAGTCCCTGAATAGCCGGGAGCGAATAAAGCGTGGTGCAGAGCCCGGGGCTGGCACTGGGGGTGTAAAGGAGGCGAGTTCGCTGGCACTTACCAAGTTATAAATAAAAGGCTGTGCACAATGGTACCTTCTCTGGGGACAGACAGTCTTTACAACACTCCTGGCGTCATATCCTGCTGGGGACACTTCAGCTTCTAGCCAAGACTCCCGCTCCTTTTATTTTTCTAGCAGTTTAGCCTGAATGCCATAATAAATTCCTGAGAACAAACGCGGCGGCCAGGCAAAACCTGAACGTATAGACACACTTCTGCCAGCGTGTTGGGAATCTATACATTGAGATTTAGAGCTGGGGCTTCGCAGACCCGGTTTTTCAATAAAAGAGACCCTTTTCTTCTCCTCCCCTCCCCAGACTTCAAGTAGCAGTCTTGCGGCCTCCTCCCCACCTCTGTCCGGCTGCACAATCTCCCCCCTCCCACCAGCGGAGAAGACAAAAGAACTGGTCAGCACAGCCTGGACTCCTCCTGGGAGAACCCCTTAACAAGCCTAGGCCAAGGGGCATTGACCAGAGGAAGGAAGGCCACGCATGTCTGGGGGTTCCCAATGCCTTCTTATGGAATTGAGCCCCCTCCAGTGGCAGCAAGCCAAGTAAAGTGTGTGTGTGTGTGTGTGTGTGTGTGTGTGTGTGTGTGAGAGAGAGAGAGAGAGAGATAGAGAGAGAGAGAGAGAGAGAGAGAGAGAGAGAGAGAGAGAGAAAACAGACATAGTCACGCAGAGAGAAATAGTCAGAGACAGAGAAAGACACAGAATACTGAGAGAGACAAAGAGACAGAGAAATAGACAGCCAAAGAGTGAAACCCATAGAGTGACAGACAGAGACGCAGAGGCTGGGACCCCTCCCTGCCCTCAGCAGCTGTCACCTCCCTCAGGCTCTCTCTCCCAGTTTCTATGAGTCTATCCTTCTCTCCTGGGGCTGGGGCGCAGCGCGGGTCCCTCTGGGGCCGGCCGAGGTCCCGGCACCTCCGGGGATGGGAAGAGAAAGTGGCCGCTGTCGCCCAATCAGCGCGTGTCTCCGCCACCCGGGACGGTCTCCCCGTCGGCCAATCGCAGCTCAGGGCTCTTGACCAAGCTTTGGGTGAAAGAACTAATAAATGCTCAAGAGCCAGGATCCCCGCACTCGGTGTCACGACAGGAAGAGACTCCGGCCGGCCTTGCTCCCGGCCCCACCCCCTTCCCTGGCTCGTCGCGGCGCGCAGAGACCCCTCCCCAGCGTCCTAGGCGCGGGGCCACTCGCCCAGATTCCCAATAAACTTTCCCACCCTAGGCTCGAAATCCTGGACTCGGGCTTCCCAGCCTGGTTCCTTCTCGAGCCCCTCTCTCCCAGGACTAGAAGCGAGCAGTCCCCCTCCCCACGGCCCTCCCTCTGTCTCCAGCCTCTTTGGGGAGGGGCTCTCCGTGCTCCGGGGGAGTTCGCGAGGGTTACCAGCGCCTCGCTCGCCTCCCTATCTCGCCTTTACCTGGATATAATTTCCAAACGAAGCTGCCCCCAGGATGACCACGCTGGCCGGAGCTGTGCCCAGGATGATGCGGCCGGGCCCGGGGCAGAACTATCCGCGCAGCGGGTTCCCGCTGGAAGGTAAGCGAGGGCCTCAGCAGCGCGCGGGGTCCGGGGCTGGGCCCGGGCTGCTCCCGCTACCGGGTCTCTGCAGGCTCCTTGAGCGATCCGGGGACCCCATTCCCTTGGGCACCCCACCCCCAGGGGGAGGAAGGAAGGAACAGTTGGGGCGAGATCCGCACCAGATTTCCTCTCTGTAAACGCAGCGCGATTTCTCCGAGAGCATTTGCACAACTTGGCGGCCCGGCCTGCGCCAGGCGGGTCCACTTTGCCCTGTTGTTTTGGAAAAGCCTTGGCTGGGAGGGGGCGAAGGGGCTTCTGAGCGCCAGAAAGCATCTTCTCCGTATTTTGTTCACGCAAAGGCGTCTCAAAATTTGTCCCGGCTCTGCCCATATTTGCTAAGCTCTTTCTTGTTAAGTTCCGGGGAAAAAAAATTTCTTTCCTATGCACAGTAGTGGCGGCGAGGCCCTGAGATTTTTAGTATTCATTATTTATTGAGTCTCACTCTTCTTAAGCGGCATCTTGAAGTTTCCATAACCCGTTTGGGAAACTGACAAAGTCAGTTGGAAGGTGCTGGTCACTCCAGGGACACAGGAAGTTATGCAAGCCCCAGTCCTTCTGACAGTTTGAGAGGTTGGGGCGCCCTAGCGGTCCGGTGGCTGCTACCTTAGGACCTCGGTCCAGAGTAGAATGTAATACCCAGGACATGGCTGGAGGCAAGCAGGGCCTGCGAGCAGATCAGGTTTGTCCGTGTCCCCAGATGTAACAGGTGACATGCCTGCCACCTGCAGCTTCCTTTTGGGTTCCTCTTTGATCTTTGGCTTCTGCGTTCTTAGCTGGAAATCCCAAAGTTCTGTCAGCTCCTCCAAGTCCCTCAGCAAGGGAGCAGGCCTGCTTGGGCAGGGTTTGGTGTGAGGAAGGTTCCAGAAAGCTGAAGCCTGGGTAACTGCCTGCCAGGAAGCTGTTTCCTGAGCAAGACACACTCTGTGCCAGCTATAGGGTCGCCGGGTTTCCCAAAGTTGCCACCTTATCTGGGCCAAAAGGGAAGACGGTTTCGCTGGTCCAAGTTATTTGCCCTGGTTGCTCCTTCCGCACAAGATTAGGTGGCCCTGAATTGCTTAATAGTTTGAACTAACGTGATTGAAAAGGGGCCTGGGGCTGGAAGCTGGATAGGAGCCGGTTCATGGCAGAGGCTGTCGCGCGTTCAGAGTGGCCCAAAGAGCGCTAAGTTAGAGGCTCAGCTTCCCAGTGGCTGCCCCCCACTCCCCTGAAATGACATTTCGCTTGCCTCTCTTTTCACCTTCTGTCTCCAGTGTCCACCCCCCTCGGCCAGGGTCGAGTCAACCAGCTGGGCGGTGTGTTTATCAACGGCAGGCCGCTGCCCAACCATATCCGCCACAAGATCGTGGAGATGGCCCACCACGGGATCCGGCCCTGCGTCATCTCCCGCCAACTGCGCGTGTCCCACGGCTGCGTCTCCAAGATCCTGTGCAGGTACCAGGAGACCGGCTCCATCCGGCCTGGCGCCATTGGCGGCAGCAAGCCCAAGGTGAGCTCCGGAGGCCTCTGGGCCTGCCATCTCCCGGTTAGGGGAAGGGCAGGCTGGGGCAAGAAAGGGTGCCTTCTGGCACTTTCCAAGAAGTTATTTTTCAAGTCTGGAGGTGTGTGTGTGTGTGTGTGTGTGTGTGTGTGTGTGTTGTATCAGGTGTGTGTGTGTGTGTGTGTATGGACTTAGTTGCTGCCCAAGCCGAGATTCCTTGATAAACACTAAAAGAAAACCCCAGCGCTTCTGTAAAGAAAATATAGCATTTTTAAATGCCCGGAATCTCTTTATTCCTCAACACATTACTTTGACAGGCAACCGCCAAACTGTCCGCATCCACTTGTTGCTGGTTTCTTCCTCAAGCATCTCTCCAGCTCCCACCCGCTGCCCTGGCCTTCCCAAAACTAATCTAAGGAGCCTCTGCTTTTTTAAATGGTTGCTTTCCCAGCCCCTGTCCCCAATCTCTTCCAGTGCAAATTGTCTTCAAGGAGTCAAAAGCGGAGCGATGTGTTTTCATTGAAAGGAGCCCATGATTTGGCTTTTAACAAGCAGTTTGGCGCTCTCTTCAAGTGATTCTGGTTCCCTTTTAAAAAGGAGAGAGAGAGAGAGAGAGAGAGAGAGTGTCTTCCTGGCGAGGGCTGAGTGAGAGGGGGTCGGTTCAGGGCTGCCTTTTCTTTTGGGTGTGGGGGAAATGCAATATAGTTTTCTGGTTGCCACGGGGCACCGTCAAAGGGAGCGTTCTGGTAAATGTAAGACTTCTGAACACCCTCCTCTGCTCCTGCCTTCTCAATGCCCTTTGCACCCTTCCTAAGAAGCCCCGGAAACTCTTTTAATTGGAAAACAATTAAGAGCCAGTTGCTTCAATTATGCCTATTTGTTATCCACTCTCATTCATGGAAACCTCGATTCTCACCTTTTGCATTTCACTCTGCTCTTTGGTTAAAATCCTGCGTTCCTGTGGGGAGGCGACAGTTGCGCATCTAATTTGATTGCTCTGCCCCTCTTTCAAGCGTTTCTTTTTGTTTAGTTTCATTTTCGTGTTGATTTTGTCTAAGGACTTGCCTCTCTGTATTTCCCGGGATTTGAAAATCTCTTTTTCATTTATCCTGATTGTCGGAGCTTAGCTGCTGTGGAGGAGGAGGGTACCCAGATGGCTTTGGGGTGGGTGACCTTCTGGCAGGCCCCCCGCAGAGTAAACTGCCTTAGAGAGGGTGGGGCTCTCTGCTAGCACCCCCACCCTGCCTTAGAGAGGGGGGGCTTCTCAGGGGGCCCAGAGGACTGGGTAGCAACACCTGCCCGCCTGTTCTCTTAAAGCAGGTGACGACGCCTGACGTGGAGAAGAAAATCGAGGAATACAAACGAGAGAACCCGGGCATGTTCAGCTGGGAAATCCGAGACAAATTACTCAAGGACGCGGTCTGCGACCGCAACACCGTGCCCTCAGGTACCCGGCCCGCTTGCGTTCCCTGCGGTGTCCTTGGCGCTGTTTCCCCGGCGGGTCCTTTCCCTGTATTCACCTCAATGATCATCTGGGCCACGGGGACCCCAGCTCCTCCCTGGGCCCCTGAAATACTTAGGAACCACCGTTTTACGGTGGGAGCGGCCAACCGCTGGTCCTGAGGCTGAGACCAACCAGGGGGCCCCCCAAAGAGGATTTTTTTTTTTTGGTCGGGAAAACGCGGCAGGAAATCCGAGGCGGAGGCCAAGCATTTATTAATATTGATGTTCTCTTTTAAAGAGAAACAAATGTTTTGGTGAGCCCAGTGGAAGGGAGATGGGGCCGGGCCCGCGGAGGAGGCTTCGCGGTGTGTACGGGGGCAGCAGTGTCCCCCGGGGTCCCCGGCGGAGAGCGCGGAGAGGCCAGCGCAGCCCCAGCCCAGGGCGCGCGGGAAAGTTTGTTTTTAATTAAAAGGCAACTCCCTCTCACCCACCCCTCATTCCCCCTGCGAGAACGAGATGTTTCAGGGCACGGATTTGTTTACTACGCTGGGATCTGGAAAAAATAAATGGGGGGAGAGCGCGTTTTCTTTTGATTTTTACAATAGGAAACGGTCCTGCAGCTGAAATGGAAACCCTTTTTAGTCTAAAAACAGTTGAACTGCAGGGGAAGGGGCCGCTGCCGTTCTGCCTCCTTGGCCGGAACCGCGGGGCCGCCCAGTGCCTGCAGGTGGTGGGGGGTGGGGTGCAGGGTGGGCTGCGGGAGACTTCTCCCAGATCGGAGGCCTAGACCCCGCTATGGAATCCAGAAGGGAAGCAGAGAACAGCGGCTCAGGCCCTGGCTTGGAGGTGCAAGCTTCCCAGGCTCCAATCTCCCTTCCCTACATGGGAGTGGGGGTGAGGGATGGTCGAATTGGAGGCTGAAAGGTGGAAGAAGAAGGTGGAGGCCCCAGGAGCCAGGAGGAGACAGAAATTGGCTGTGCCGGGCCGCGGATCCGGTGCGCAGACTGGGGGTGGGGGCTCCGTGCCGCCCAGCCCAGCACCAACTCAGCGGTCTGCGCTCCCCCCTCCTCCCGCCCCCAGTGAGTTCCATCAGCCGCATCCTGAGGAGTAAATTCGGAAAGGGGGAGGAGGAGGAGGTCGACCTGGAGCGGAAGGAGGCAGAGGAGAGCGAGAAGAAGGCAAAACACAGCATCGACGGCATCCTGAGCGAGCGAGGTAAGCGCGCCGCGGGCCTGCACCGGGCGGACTGTGGCTGTGGCGCTATGGCCGGAGGCGGCCCGGCTCCCGCGGGGTCCAGGCCTCCTGGCTCCTACCCCCCTCCCATTAAGAGCTTTTCAGTGAGGGACGCACTTGCAATAGAAACGAACGCTTTCTCTTTTGCTTTCTCTATGTTAAAGATCTTTCTTCCGCACCCCCTCCCGCCTAAAACTATAAATTGCATTTTAGGTGCGGGGCCGCCCTCCTGTCTTTGGGCGGGGACTGGGCGCCTAGAGTGGCTGGGGATGGGGAGACAGTCTGTGATATCGAGGTTGAAGGGACTTTTGTGTCCTCAGGAAAGGCCCTGATCTCCAGAGTTTCTAACATCAGAGGAGGGAGGGAGGAAGAGAAGGAGAGAAGAGGGAGGGAAGGAAGAAGGGAGGGAGGGAGAGAGCGAGGGAGAGAGAGAGAGAGAGAGAGAGAGAGAGAGAGAAAGAGACTCAATGCTTTGATAGGCAGTGAGCCTGAAAGTTGCCCCTCAGAGGCTACCCTATAAACATATGTGTAAGCTGTCTGCTTTCTCTTGGTTTTAAATTGGTTTGCAAATGTGATGGGGTTTGGTTTGTGTGTGTCTGGGAAGTAAAACCGAGGGGACCTGGGCTTTGGACCCTTAGTGCCCACCCGTTCCTCCTTGGCTGCAAACTGGCAGCATCCGGAGAAAATCTCTCCCTGAGAACCACGAGTGCAGCCTGCCTGCCTTTCACTGGCTGCGGGTCCTCTTCAGACTTAAGGTGCCCACCCGCCCCCTCCCAAAGGGCAGTCTATCCCCTGGAGCCCAACGGGGAAGGGGTGACTGCACCGAGAAGTCCCAGCAGATTTGCACCTCAGTGGTTCTGGCCTTGGGGATGGTTGTAAGTCTTCAAATTAGAAAAGGTGCCGAGTCCCCTCTCCTGGCGTCCTCTGCTCTGGGGCCTGGGTTGTGTAAGGCTGAGTTCTGAGCTGCCCTAGAGGTCAGGCGACTCTTCAGGTGGGTTTGGAGCCATCATACGCTGACCAGCTGGGTCCAAGGCCCCCTCAGCCCCGGACTGCAGACGGTCCTTTCTTGCTCACCCCCTGGACAGACCGATGGGCTTTATAAACCAAGGCAAAATCTGTACTCAGAAAGCACACTTAGATTTAGATGCTCTAAATCCAAATGGCTGCTTTTAGATGCTCTGGAACCATCAGGCAATGATGAAAAAGCACCGGAAGCCATGGCAGGTTGCTTCCCTCCGTTAGAAGCAGGGCTCTCACAGGGGCTCGGTCTGAGCTTCTCCTTTGAAAGGGGTGCTTCCCTTTTCAGTCTCTGAGAAGACAGCTGAGCTTTTATTCTAGCCTAGATACAGCATGGAGGTGCTGGGGAGGGAAGACAGTGAGAAACCAGACACCCCCAAACCCATTGGGCCCCTTGGGGCAGGGCAGTGGTGCCCGGAGCCCAAAGTGTCCCAGAGGCTTCAGAAGGACTGGGAGGAGGCACAGCTTTGCTACTTGTTGCCGGAGGCGCAGAGCGAGGCCTACCCGAGGCTCCCTCACAGCACAGGCAACCGAGGCCCAGGAGACAAAACGCCCCAAATGAGCTGGTCAAACATTTGTACAACTTTTCCAGCTTTTACAAAGAAGGCCTTCTCTACACAAGCTACACTTGGAGATGAACTTGGGAGACAAAGCCCGGAGAGTCCATTGAAACTCACACTTTAGCTCGGCCCAGACAAAGCTCCGGCTCGCAGCAGCTTGATGTGAACAAAGGAAGGCAACCTTTTTATAATTCAAGGAGAAAAGAAGAGAAAACAGCCCCACAAAGGGCGGCGAATAGACATTATGGGCTTGCAATGAGGGATGAATTATTCAATGAGCCCCAATAGCTGCTGCGCCAGGAAGTTTTATGGACTCTCCAGCGTGAAAAAGTGGCCATTTCACCTACAAAATGTTTCTAGTCTTTTGGGCCGGCTAGCTGGAGCGGGCTGCCATTCAAGGGCAATTGCTACCATTTTAAAAATCAGAGAATTCTCCCCAGTGGGGGTCACACCGTTGCAAACACACACGCACACACCTCCGAGGCTGGAGCCTAATTTAATTTGGGGTTGTCAAGGATGAAGCAGCCGCAGTCTCTCGCCAGCGCCTCTGGCTCCTTTGCCAGATGTACCCTGCAGGGCAAGAGGGGCCCAGGGAAAGGAGAGGGAAATGTAGTTTTGAAGGAAAGTTTAGAAACCTCAAATCATTCTCTCTGCTGTTTGGGTATCACACGCCACAGGTCGCCCGGCTTGTAAAATAGAAGGCAGCTGGCTCTGAGCGCCCAGGCAGAGGAGCAGGAGGCTGGCCGACAAGGGGCCTTTGGGTGCCCTGAGCAGGGCGCTGTGCTCTCTGGAGGTTCCAGCTTCCTTGTGGGCCTGAGGGTGCCGCTGAGACTGGTTTTCCAGGAGACATCTTTCCAGGGGATATAACTTTCCCTAGCCCCTCTTCTAATCCAGGGGCAGCGCAGCGTGCCCACCCGGTGCCCCCTTGCTGGGTCCATCCTTCCAACATCTTTGCGGGTGGAAGGGGAGGAGTGGTCGGTCAGGGCACACCCAGCCCCACCATCCCGGCCCCTGGCTGGCATAGAGATTCGAGCTGGTGCAGCCCGAGGAGCCAAGCCCTGGTCGCAGCATCAGGGGCTGTGGGTATGGCCTGCTCTGCGGCCACTCAATGGTGGCCTCTGTTCCTCCCCTGGCGCGGCCAGTGGGCCCCTCGGGCACTGCCACAATGGGCCGCCCCCTCCCCTGCGCCAAAGCTCCGCCGCCCCCTCCCCTGCGATCCGGCTAGCAGCTTAGCTCTCCGGGCTGCAGCCGACTCAATTGCCTCCTTTATGTCCTTCTCACTTTCATCTAGACACAGCCCGCCCCCCCCTCTCTCTTTTTTATTTCTTCTCTCCCTTGCCTGAGGCTCACATTAGTGAAATTTCTGCAACCTCCCCCCATTTTTTTTCTTATTTTAAAGAAAGCCCTTAACACAAAAGCAGTGACTAATCAATAGAAACTGCTCCTTCATCATCTCCTCCTCCTCCTCTTCCTCCTCCTCCTCCTCCTCCTCCTCCTCCTCCTCCTCCCTCCCTCCCTCCCTTTTTCTTTCCCTCCCCCTCTCCTCCTCTTACTCCTCCTCCAGAAGGGTGACGCTTTTCCTGTTTGGGAGTTTCGGGAAACATTTTTGCTCCCTATCGTAATGGAATTAGAGGACAGATGAGGCCTGTAAATGGACACGCGACTGCAAGATTGTCGCTTAAATATTTAGATGCAACGTTACAATCACCGACTTGTTGCAGCGGCTTTGAAGTGGCGCTCGGGGGTTGGGGGTTGGGGGGAGAGGCCAGATCGCCACATGGATGTTTTGATTGGGGCTGCGGATGCGCTTCCACGGCGCTTTCCCCGTATCCACAGCGCCAGCGAGCGTGGGAGGTTTGCAACGATTCCAAAGGTTGAGCTAAGAGACCCCAAGCGTAGGTCGGTTGGGGCTTCTCCTTCTTTCACGTCTCGCCCTTCCTTTTTGACCATTTTTGAAAAAACAGTGCCGCTTTCTTTCTTTCTTTCTTTCTTTCTTTGAGAAAGTCAAAGCGACGAAAGTTTTGCTCGAATCCTCGCCCGGCCCGTGTGCGCACTTAAGCTCTTCTAAAATGAACGAGATTCACGCCAGCTTGAGGGGGGGGGGGGGAAGTGAGATAAAGCAATCAACATGCCAAGGTTTAAAGGTCCTCGAAGCATTTCATTTCCAGGGGAATCATGAAAAGGCCACTTCGTGTTTGACGGCAGCGCCACTAAAACGGAGGGAAAGCGCCTCTTATCCGAGCTATCCCCCTATCCGTGTCCCCCCCACCCCACCCCAATAAGCAGAGAAGGACAATTTGGCGCGAGGCTAGGGGATAGAGGACGAACTTTCCCACAGATTTAAATCTCTAGGTTATCAGATCTTAGGTTTGTGGCATCGGAACCGTTCTTGGAGTGCACAGCCCACTCTCTTTTGTCAGAACCGCGAATCTGACCCCAGCGTCATCATCGAAGTCTTGGGCAGACAATTTCCTATTTCCCCGGAGTCCTCGCAACACCCAACACTGCATCTTAACACATGCATGAGAAATGTCAGAACTCGAATTAAATTCCAACACCACACTGATCCCTCCCCCGACCCCCCTTAAGACCCTGGAGCGGATTTGCCCGTTGGAAAGATTGAAAAGGAAGCAGCCCAGTTTGGAGGTCGGTTTTTTCACCCGCTGGTTTGTTTTCGTGGGAGGGGGGGGGGAGGACTGCTGTATGTTTACTTTCTAACCTTATTGAAAGCATGCAGATTTTCTCATTAATGCTTGAAATCGTATGTTTATTTGGTGGCTTGATGAGATTGCCGATAGCACCGGAGCGGGGACGTGGGGCCTTCGCGTGCGCAATGATTGCTGGAGGTGATTTAAGAGTCCCCAGGGCCGCGCCATAAACCCTCCGCCGCTGAGGCGGAACCGGCAAGTGCGCCTGGTCCAGGGGGTGCCCTGTGCAGGATCCGTCAGGTGGATGGGAGCGTTGCCACTCAACCCAGTTCCAACATCCACGATATATTTTGAGGACAAAAAAAAAAAAAAAAAAAAAAAAAAAGTCCTCCCTAGCTAGGAGGTTAAGTGTTCCGCTCGTCCATAGGTAAATAACGGGTGAGAAGAAAAAAAAGAAAAAGCTTCGCAACACTAACCAACACACAAAGGGTGTGAGAGAGCGAGAGAGGCCAGGGCTGGCGCTCAGAAGGTTCTGTTCGGTGGGGTTCCACCGCGGGTAACTTCTTTACGTGGGTAAATAAAGATTAAAGAACCATTAAGAATGTAGATATAGAACTAACAAGACCCTAAAAGGCAATCAAGCAGCCAGTCTAATGCCTTATCTCACTGGTTGCTCTGGGGTTGTTTTACAACTAGGAATTAAAATCTGAAAAGGAAGTTTTCAGCGGCTCTGGCCAAATATTGATTAAGTAGCTGT